GATCTTCAGCATCACTACACCAACTCGAATCAGTGTATCCCACTAACTTGCATTATTTTCCTTTATCAACTGCAGGAAAAAAATGCCATAATCGAAAGTTCCTTTGAGATACCTTAGTATCCTCTTCTCTACTGCTAGATGTGATACCTTTGACTTCTGCATGAATCTACTTACCATACCTACACTATATGCTAAGTCGGGCCTTGTATGACAAAGATATCTCAATGATCCAATAAGTCTTCTGTATTGGGTTGGATCAACATCATCTTCATCTACGTCTTTCGACAGTTGCAGTCTTGGTTCTGCAGGTGTCAAAGTTGAGTTGCATTCTTCCATCTCAAACCTCTTGAGAATTTCTCCTGCATATCTTCTTTGATGCATCATCAAACCTCTACTGCTCTTGTAGAATTCGATACCAAGGAAATATGAAATCTCACCCAAATCAGACATTTCAAATTCTTTGCTGAGATCATCTTTGAAGTCTTCGATCTCACTTTTACAGCTACCTGTTATCAACAAATCATCTACATAGGAACATAGTATAAGCAATTTACTCTTGCTTCTTCTTACATATACTTCATGTTCGGTTGTTCACTTCACAAATTCCTTCTCCCTTAGAAAACTATCAATTTTCTTATTCCAAGCCCTTGGAGCTTGTTTCAATCCATACAGGACTTTATGTAGCCTGTACACCTTTCTTTCTTCGTCATGTTTCACAAACCCAACTGTTTGTTTAACATAGACTTCTTTATCTAAGGGTCCATTTAGGAATGCACACTTCACGTCCATCTGACATATGTGCCAACTATTTATTTCTGGTAGACCAACAATCAACCTGATTGTTTGAATCCTAGCAACAGGTGCAAAAACTTCATCGAAGTCTATTCCTTCTTTCTGTAGAAATCCTTTTGCCACAAGTCTTGCTTTGTGTCGAGTTACTTCACCTTTCGAATTCATTTTCACTTTGTATACCCACTTGACATCAATTGCCTTCTTGCCTTGAGGCAATTCGACAAGTTACCAAGTGTTGTTGTCTTCGATAGACTTTACTTCTTCGTTCATTGCTTTCACCCACTTCGAATCCTTTAATGCTTCAGCTGCATTAACAGGTTCGACATCTGCATAGAAAGCATAATGTATCAGCTCACCTTCATTATTTATTACATCATCTGATGTAATCACACAATCTTGCAATCTTGCAGGCATGCGTCTTGTTCTTTGAGGCCTGCTTGTACTTGGTATATCTGCTGGTTCCTCTTGTCGAACTTCTCTTTCGACATGAGTTTTTGGCTCTTCAAGAAGGATTCCCACTGAATCTTTCTTGATATTTTCAGTATAATCCCATTCTTTAAACTCATCTGTGATCACATCCCTGCTGATCACAATCTGCTTTTTCACTGGATCGAACAACTTGTAGCCTCCTGTCGAATGATATCCAACTAGAATCATTTGACTTGACTTATCATCAAGTTTTCTTCTCAACTGATCTGGCACATGTCTATGTTCAATAGATCCAAATACCTTCAGATGACTCAAACTATGCTTCACACCAGACCAACATTCTTCTGGAGTAATTCCTTCTATCTTCTTTGTAGGACATCTGTTCAAAATGTATGTTGTAGTCGAAACAGCTTCACCCTAAAACTCTTTAGGTAAATTCTTGCCTTTCAACATACTTCTCACCATATTCACGATGGTTCGATTTTTACTTTCTGCAATTCCATTTTGTTGTGGAGTATAGGGTGGCACCACCTCATGCACAATCCCTTCCTTTTCACATAATCTGTCGAAGTCTTTCGACACATATTCTCCACCACCACCAGTTCTCAAAACTTTGAGCTTTCGACCACTTTGTCTTTTGACCATAGACTTAAACTTGGTAAATACTTCGATCACTTCACTTTTCTTCTTGATCAGGTAAGTCCATAGCTTTCGACTGAAATCATCTATGAATGTAACAAAGTATTTGTTACCTCCCATCGAATCCACCTAGATTGGTCCACATACATCAGAGTATATGACTTCAAGACTAGCCTTCGATCTGCTTCCTGCATCCTTGCTGAAGCTATTCTTGTGTTGTTTCGCCTGCACGCATTCCTCACATATCTCATTTGGAATGTCAATTTCTGACAATCCTGAAACCATATTTCTTCTCTTCAAATCTTTGATGTCTCTGAAGTTGAGATGGCCTAGTCTATAATGCCATATCCATTCATCTTTGCTAGCTGCGGTCGAAAGTAACTTGTGCTCCATCACATTTAGTTCAATCTTGAAGGTTCGATTCTGAGACATAGGAGCCTTCAAGATTAATCTCCCATTTGCATCAACGAATCTTATCATATTATCTTCGATTAACACTTTATAATTCTTTTCGACCAACTGCCCTATACTGAGCAAATTGCTCTTCATGCCTGGTATGTACAACACATTGGAGATTACTGACCTTTTGCCATCTTTCCTCATAATCATAACATCACCAATACCTTCAGCTGCTAGGGTATTGTCATTTGTAAATTTTACCATATTTTTCATTGAGGGCTTTATATTGACGAACCAGTCTTTCCTTCCAGACATATGTGATGAACATCCTGAATCCAAGTACCATTGGTCCTTGAATCTATCTTCATCTCTTATTGTGACCATCAGCATCATCTGTTATTCTTCTTCATGTTTTGCAAGCTTTGCATCACTTTCTTGATTCTTTCGTTTTTCTGGACAATCACTTGAATAGTGACCATACTTCTGATAATTGTAACATTGAATGTGACTCTTATCAGGTTTTCGACCACCACCTCTTCCTTTATTTGCAACACCACCTCTTTGGTTGCCTTGGTATGGTCTTCTTTGATTCGACATGTTTCCTTCAATCTGGTTTCCTCTACCATTCGATTTGTTGTAGCCACCTCTACCTCTGTCGAAACACTTTCCTTTGTCTTTAGTTTCTTTTGCTGAATGTGCCTACAAGCCCACATCACTCTTCGATTTTCTTGCAGCTCTTTCGTTCATTCTTTGTTCATGAGATTCAAGCGTCCCTTGAAGCTCTTCCTTTGTCAATTTCGACAAGTCTTTTCCCTCTTCTATCGCCACCACTATGTGGTCGAACTTAGGAGCTAAAGATCTCAAGATCTTCGACACAACAACTCTTGTTGTTAACGCTTCTCTACATATCTTGATTTGATTTACTAGTGAAGAAATCAGATATGCTTTCATTGTCTTCCATCTGAAGCAGTTCACAAGTCCTTTTGTGAGTTTGTAACCTCACTTCTTTCACTTTCTCAGCGCCTCCAAAAGACTTTTCAAGGATTTCCCAAGTTTCTTTTGCAGATTCTGAATCACTTACCTTTTCGAAATTGTCTGGGCTGACACATTGATGAATTATAAATAATGCTTTATAACTCAGCTTCTCAGATTCTATGTATTTCTTATTTTCTTCTTCTGAAGCGTTTTCTCTAAGTGCTTCGACTCCATCTTTTACAAGGTCCAAAAGACCTTGACACCTGAATAAGACTTTCATCTGTTTGCATCAATTCTCATAGTTGTCAAGTTTCAGAATTGGTAGGGTTGCTGGATAATTTGCATTCCCATAACTTGTCATCGTGAATTCTTCAATCGTTCTTGATTGACACTTCCCTTGAATCGAAACAAAACTCTTGATACCAGATGTTGGAAATCCACCAAAACTCTATGATGAATTTCTATCACAATGACAATTTAATTATGAGACAAACAAAGAAAAGAAGATAAGACAAATAATTTCTACAGAGTTTCTCTCTGTTCACAAACTGTGAAAACTTTCTTATTCACTTTACAACTGCAAAATACTGTGAATAGCTTGTTTGACTTGCTTACAAAAATAGGGGTTATTCCCTCTATTTATAATTGGGCTTACACTCTAAGCCCAAAGCCCAAAATATCTTTTTGTTACTAAATCAAATCTAATTTATTCTAAACTTAAATCAAATCTATTTAAATCTAAAACAAATCGAATCTTTTCGACACATAATTTCGACACATTGAATTATAATTTAACAAGACTAACTAATGTTTATGCTATGATGGGTTTGCATAATCGTCACAGTGACTCTCTTCCACCATTTTTCATAGTGCACTCCATAATTATTTGGAGGAAACAACAAGAGTAAAAAGGCATCCAACTCTGTAGAAAATTATGCCTTCATCGCATCTCACAGTGATCCATCGCAATGGACAAAACAACACTGAACTTCGCTAAGTATCCGAATCAACAACATCAATAGACTTACCTTTAGCGTCTCTTCCATTAATTCGATCGATACTATATATACATTAAACGTATCTCCTAATGATTTACACCTAATAATAATCAATCAATTTTAATAAATAACACAACACAAATTAAGAGAGTTTAGATCAATAGCTGAATTATGGAATTGATATGGAAGGACATACAAAAACACTTAAGCTAAAGGCTTATTTATTCCAAAATACCTAAAGAATAGCTTTATTCCAAAATGAATTATTTAAGAATAGCTAAAGAATAGCTTTATTCCAAAATGAATTATTTAAGAAAAGTGACCGGCTATAATTGGTTAAAATTTTATTAACTCATTACTCAATCACTATAGATTTTAACTATAATGAAGTACATGGGAATATTTTGAAAACAGTGGATTATATAGTGAGGAAACAAATCATATATCATATTTCTTTAGTACTTTTCATTAATCTATTGTTAAAGTGATGTAAAACTTTCCATCACCATAGATAGAGAGAGCCTTTAACAACTACCTCCATAGGATAGATGCCATGATTACTACATGAATTGCATTCTTCACAATTTTGCTATTTTAAACTATATGTACTTAACTTTAACTTAATTTTAGAAAGAGATAAACCACTAGATTTGAGGTTCTCTTGAGTCTTGACATGAAAAAAAACTAACCAAAAGAAAGTAAAGTAAAGAAAAGAAACATCAATAGAAAAACCAAGAAAATGAACCAACAACTACAACTACTTTTTGTTTAAGAAACTGAATGCCTCCTATTTCTTGATGGTGTAGATTTAACTTCTTCAGGATTAGCAGAACCATTACTCTCAGATGAATCTGAACCACTATTTTCACCATGTCCTCCTTTGCTTGCCCATAGCTTGATGAAAGACTTCTTTGACTTCAACAGTCCTTTCATCTTCCCAATAACAGCCTTATCCATGCTTGGTTTAGCTTCCTCGTCTTTGTAACCGTTTCCAACTCCGTTGCTTAGTCTCAACGACGCAAGTTCCTTTCTTAAGGCTTTCAGTTCCTCGGCTGTCGACACAGCATCTGTGTCATCCTCTGGATTAGTTGTTCCGGACTTTGAGCTACCGTTGGATCCAATGCTCAAGTCTTTGATTCCTTTAGTTGTTATGTCTGGAGTGCTGGTGCCTGATGAAGCGGTGGTTCTAACCTGCTCGAAATATAGTACCTGCACGACGACACGCATTGGTAGCCTCTCGTTTTGCACTGCATGCAAGCATGCGTCAACCGATAGCTTTCGGCAATCCATCAGCTTGCATATTCTCTTCTTTTCGCCTTTGTTGAGCCCAGGGTGCTCCTGCATTAGTTTTCGACGTCTTTTTTAGTGTGAAAGCTAAAATATTTATCTATAATATTTTAAGAACAGTTAGTTACCTTCAAGTATGTGTCAATAGCCCTGTAAAGACCGTCATGAGCCGGACGAGCGATGCCAGAAACTAACTCAGCAAGACTAACAAAATCTGACAGTGGTAAATTGGGATCTTTCGCGATTTCAGCGAGGTATCCATCTATGAGTTTCGCAACCATCAACTTAGAAGCATCTGATAAAATCCCTGGCTTTCTTATCCCTTCAAGTTCACCACCTCCAACCGATTCAATCTCGGAATTATGATCTTTCATCATAAACTCCCTCACAATTTTCTGTACTATACCGACATCATACATTGTAGTCTCTCCATCTGGTGCTCGGATCAAAACATCATTTGCCGAAGCCTCTTCCAGCTGCTGACCAATTCTCTTTACTAGATCTTCTTTGATCCTATCTTCTGATTCAACAAAAATGGCAGCTTTCAATAGTTTCACTAAGATCCTGCATGAAACACTTCCTTTCTCGGCAGGCAACAACTTCACAATAGTATCAACAATTAAACGATGCTTTGAGACATTCCCGCATGGGACCATACCCTTACTGAAATTTGGCAACTTTCTGTAAGCATAAGCTTTCAAGGCTTCACCAATTACCTCATTAGATTGAATTTCCTTGGTTTTGATATTTGTTATCACAGATTTGAACATGTCAACTTCAAGCTCGCATAAATCTTCAACCCACCAGTCTTTTGGCACGTTCCGAGTTCTGACTCCAGTCTGGTTTGACTCAACTCCGTTTTCCTCCAGGAGCTTTTTTCGGTTATACGTGTAGGACCAGTCAACTTTGGATACATCGACACACGCTTTATTTGCTATAGATTCAATGCAACGGTTGACGACCTTTTGCTCCTCATCCCGGGGTAACATAGATTTTGTACTCTGGAGAAGGATGATTGAGTCCTTCCAACTACGAAAAATGCTAGAGCTAAGAAAAACATCGATTTTGTAAAGAAGGTTTCCTTTCTCGATGGTTTCGTGCATTCCAAGATACTCAGCTGCACATCTAGTAGCAATCACATTGTAAGCATTGAGAGTAACTGTCATGCCATAGCAAAACTTAGCACATATCTCAAATGCACTCGCACCACCAGGAATGTCGGAAATTTGAACTTCATCTATGCTTTCTTCATTACTGAGGGAAATCAACTTCTGTAAGTGAGAACTCTTCGATATGAGAGGATACTGCGCATAAAACAAATCAGAAAATCATTACTTTGCACAAATTGCTATAAATCTTTGAGACTTCCAGAAATCGTTAAAGGCAAACAGGAAATACTTATTCAGAAATTAAACATGGTTGATGGATTTGAGCATACCTTGTGTAAGTGAAACTTCATATCATCTATGCTAACAACGATATCCGATGCCAAATCACTTGCCACAAACCTGCACATTAAAGGCATCTTTTTGAGGCAAACTATCCCGAAAAATAGAGTGCATAAAACGAATAGGCATAAAAAAAAATGGGCAGAATGCAAGTATCATGGCTGGGTCGAGAAATCAAGAACAACTGAGAATAAACTATATATCTGTTCTTGATTAAGTTTCTTCAACAATCTTTTACATTCAAATACTAGGCTCAATACAATCAAGACTAATTTTCAATACAAGAGCACGAGTACTGGCTAAGGCGATAAAATGTGCAGCCATGCAGTGGAAAACGGTGGAAGTGACCAGAAAATACATTATCTTACCTAACATTGTTATTCCCATCAGTCTGAAAGGTATCTGTCTTTGAACCAAGCTTCATAAACTTCATCTTCACAATACAAGATCTACTTTCCTCACAAAAAATAGTTGATTGAAGGCAACACCACCAGCTAACACTGAAATTTAAGGGAGAAAAGAAAAGTTTCTAAGGGATGAGAGGTTAAATACCGAAGAGTATGATCGATGGAATCTTGACAGAAAACAAGGCAGAGAGAGAAAGATAAATGGTGTAGATTAGGAATATCTAATTGTTTAAGCAAAGGTTCTCTTAAATGGTAAGAGACTCTAACAAGAGATTGTTTCCTTGGTCGACGGCAAAGGCCACGGAGTCCGGACGCACCGAGTCAGCTCAGGGAACATAGCCAACAGAGATGTAACAAACACTAAACAATTCTATAACCAGAGACACAAATCTGACTCCACCTCACTTTTTCTCATTTCTTTATCCTTCACTTTCTGATTACACTGTTTCTTTGTTTTTTTTAAAAGATTCATACCATTCCACTAACACCTCTAAAAGCTCCAACTTCCAAATCCAACATGTGTATATCTATCTATATATCTATATATTAATGCTTTTCTTTTTTCATATTTTACATTACCGTTGAAGTTTGAAAACCTGCAACAGAAAACAGCATCTTGGTATCAGAATCAAAAACCACCAAATCTGTAGACAACAAGAATCTTTTGCCAAGTATGGAATAAATTGATGAACAATCAATCATACATCAACAAGTTGCAATATTAAAACAAAAAAACTCAACTGAAAATCTTAAGAATCCACCAGAATGTAACAAACAAAAATCTACTAAAATAATGTTAGACAAGATCACAAGCTTTTAAACTCTTTGTTGTTAATCTCTCAACCACACAAGTAGAAAAAAATATATATTCTTTAGATCCATCCACTAGCAAATCAAAATGACAACTACCAAACTTCACTCTCCATGTAAACCCCAACAACACCCAAGACTCAATTTTTTTCATATTCATCACATAATAAACAATTTTAAACATAACCCATTTGAGTATACACAAAACCCATCAATATACACATACCCTTTTCATTTTTAGAGCTAAAAAAACACATTCAAAGCATTACCATCAAGAAAGTAAAGTAAAAAGAGAGAGAGAGGTAAGAAAAGAATGGTAAACCAAGATCTTACACATGCACAGTGTTATGACAGTGTATTAAAGTAATAAAGTTTTAAACTTTAAGGTAAACCAGAACAAGGGTGAAGAGGGGGGAAAAAAAAAACAGAAGAATCCAAAACAGTTAAGAAATGTTTCATGAGACACACAACATTGAACATTACCTTGTTTTGAAACACTTTCCTGATTGATTATTTTTGGTGAGAAAGTATGTAACCCAACATTCAATTTCTGGTTAGTGAGAAGAAACAAGAAAACAAAGACACACACAAAGTTAACACATTATACCACGTTGTTAAGTGATGCACGCTAAAACTGACATTTGAGGTTGCTTTTTGAAAATGGAATTAAATGGTGGTAATTAATGTCTATGGTTGGTTCAGTTGAGATCAAAATAAAAGCTGTAGATTATAGATTATAGATTATAGATTATAGATTATAGATTATAGATTATAGAATAGACTATAGTGTAGTGTGCTGTGTGTTGTTGCAGCCAAAGCTATTAGTATTTTCAACTGCGTCCATTTCCAATTTCATCATCACTTAAGTCTTTTTCATAAGTGGACAGTTGGCAAAAAGTGATTTTTGCTATATTTCCATAAAATCACAACTAACTAAATTAGGATAATTTCTTTTCTTTTCATGTATGTATGCCTAGAGGTAAGTTAATCCATACTATGAGAAAACTGTTCTTTTAATTAATAAAAAGATCAAAAAAATATATCTCTATCTTTATATATAAAAACTAATAAGAGACTTGGACTTTCACACAAGGGAATTTATTTTGATTTTTATAGAAATAATTTATATATATATATATATATATATATATATATATATATATATATATATATATATATATATATATATATATATATATATGAAAAGCTCATTTTTATTGGGAAACTACAATGAAAAATTATGAAATCAAATTATTACGATAAATAATATGATTATACAAAATACAATGGTAAACTTGATAAATGATATATTTAGATACACATGTGAATTTAAATTGAATTACATAATTATAAAATAAATAATTATTAAATAAATTCAATTATATTAAATAATATAAAATAAAAAAACTTGAGACATAGAGAAAGAAAAAAAATTTGACATTTGAAAATAAGAATTTTGTCTTCAAATAAAGGTAATAATTTGATAGTGATATGTAAGATAAAAAGTTATTTGTGTGAATTGTTAGAAAGCCACTAAAACTTATGATGAATTTCTATTTAATTTTGATGAACAAAATTGATATCACTACATAATGATAATGAAAAATATAAAAGAAAAAAAAACAATTAATTTATGCAGAGTTTCTCTCTGCCCACAAACTGTGGAAAAAACTTTATTAATCACTTGCAACTGCAAATTATGTGATTACAATGAATTGACTTGATTACAAAAATAGGGGTTACTCCCTTTATAGATTTAGGTTAGTTTGCTCCCTAAGCAAAAGCCCAAAACTATAAAAGCCCAAAATACCTCCTATTTTGGAACTTAATCAAATCTATCTATTTTAGATCTAAATCAAATCTATCTAAATCTAAAACAAATTTGTGTGTGACAAATTATTTTCACACTTCTAAATCAAATCAAATATTTTCGATATTCCCTTGTCTCTGTCGATCAAACTGCTTCGACACAAGGAATTACTTTCAACACACCACCTAATTCATTATGTCTAAGTTATCTACATTCATCATAGCTCTTAGTCTTTGAAATACTTCGACATGCACATCCTCTGACATGATGTCTGCAATCTAATTCTCAATTATGCAATGTTTCAAGTTCATCTTCACATCTGCTACCTGCTCTCGAAGATAGTGGAATCTCATTTTGATGTGCTTATTTCGACCGTGAGCTATCATATTATTAACTAGGTTGATAGCGGACATATTGTCGATCTTCATGGTAATTGCTCCATGATCTTTACTTGTAATCTCTTCGACCAAGTTCACCATCCATGTTACTTGACATGCACAAAGAGAAGCAGTTATTTATTTTGCTTCGCATGATGATAATGCCACTATTGGTTCCTTTCTCGAACTCCAAGAAACTGGTGCACCACCTAGCATAAACACATATCATGCTGTAGATTTTCGATCATCAGCATCACTACACCAACTTGAACAGTGTACCCCACTAACTTGCACTCTTTTCCTTTATCAGCTGCAGGAAACAAAATGTCATAGTCAAGAGTTTCTTTTAGATACACTATCTTCGTCGTTGCTAGGTGTGATACCTTTAGCTTCTGCATGAATCTACTTACCATACCTACAATGTATGTCGAGTCAGGCCTTGTGTGACAAAAGTATCTTAATGACCCAATAAGTCTTCTATATTGGGTTGGGTCGACATCATCTTCTTCTGAATCTTTCGACAGTTGCAGTCTTATTTCTGCAGGTGTCGATGTTGAGTTACATTCGTGCATCTCAAATCTCTTGAGAACTTCACTTGCATATCTTCTTTGATGCATCATCAAATCTTTACTACTCTTTTAGAATTCAATGCCAATGATATATGAAATATCACTCAGATCAGACATTTTAAATTCCTTGCTGAGATCACCTTTGAAGTCTTCGATCTCCTTCTTTCAGCTACATGTTATTAACAAGTCATCGACATAGAGACATAGTATAAGAAATTTACTATTGCTTCTTCTTACATATACTCCATTTTCAGTTGTGCACTTCATAAATTCATTCTCCCTTAGAAAAATATCAATCTTCTTATTTCAGGCTCTTGGAGCTTGCTTCAATCCATACAGGGTTTTATGCATCCTGTACACCTTTCTCTCTTCGCCATGTTTCACAAACCCAACTGGTTGTTTAACACAAACTTCTTAGTCTAAGGATCGATTCAAGAATGCACACTTCACGTCCATCTGACTTATATGCCAACTGTTTATTTCTGCTAGACCAAGAACCAACCTGATTGTTTCGATTCTAGCCACAGGTGAAAAAACTTCATCGAAATCTATTCCTTCTTTCTGTAGAAATCCTTTCGCAACAAGTCTTGCTCTGTGTCGAGTTACTTCCCCTTTGGGATTCATCTTCACTTTGTATATCCACTTGACATCAATTTCTTTCTTACCTTAAGGTAATTCGACAAGTGACCAAGTGTTGTTGTCTTTGATGGACTTCACTTCTTCGTTCATTGCTTTCACCCACTTCGAATCCTTCAATACTTCAGCTGCATTGACAGGTTCAAAATTTGTATAGAAAGCATAATATATCAACTCACATTCGTTATCAACTACATCATCTGATGTAACAAACCTTGCAGTCATGTGTCTTGTTCTTTGAGATCTGCTTGTACTTGGTTGATCTTGTCGAAATTCTCTTTTGACTTGAGTTTCTGGTTCTTCAAGTAGGATTTCCACTGAATCTTTCTTGACATTTTCAGTCTAATCCCATTCTTCAAGCTCATCTATAATCACGTCCATGTTGATCACAATCTACTTATTCACTGGGTCGAACAACTTGATGACAAGTCTAGTCAAATGATTCTATATACTATAGATCCAAATACCTTCAGATGAATCAAGTTATTTCACACCATACCAACATTCTTCTAGAGTAATTCCTACAAGCTTCTTTGTAGGATATTTATTCAAAATATATGTTGTAGTCGACACAGCTTCACCCCAAAACTCTTTAGATAAATTCTTGCCTTTCAACATACTTCTCACCATATTCATGATGGTTCAATTCTTCCTTTCTGCAGTTCCATTCTGCTGTAGAGTGTAAGGTGGTACCACCTCATGCATAATTCCTTATTTTTCACATAACTTGTTGAAGTGTTTCGACACATATTCTCCACCACCACCAGTTCTCAAAACTTTGAGCTTTCGACCACTTTGTCTTTCGACCATAGACTTAAATTTGA